TCCCCTGTCACTTCCCTCCTTCTTCCTGAACAGCCCTTGGAGACTCAGGGTGTGCATACTTGCTCTTATTTTTCCTGATTACCATCTGTTGCAGGCCTACTGCATGGAAGCTCCAGTGCATTGTTGGGGGATGGATCAGAGATAAAGTAAGCATTCTCCCTGCCCAGTGGGAACATTATTTATTTGCACATGTGTGTGTACTGGTTGCTGCATGCACGTGTCCGTGTCCATGCTCTCACTAAGTTGCTCTGCTCCTTGGTATGGCAGCCTCACCTATGCAGTCAGCCTGTGACCTCTCCCTCCTGGGTGGCATCTGCACTGAGCCTCCTTAGCCAACCCAGCCTTGCAGCTTCCATGTCACTGAAACAGGAGGGAAGGGGGCAGGGCACAACCTCTAAAAGAATGACATAGCCCTTGAGGACATGACATAAACTGGTTAGAACCAATTAGGTCCAAGATGGCAGAAGATTTGACTTCCAGTGGACCTTGAGACTCATTTTACGCTCATTGTAATACATTAGCTAAATGACACACCCACAGGAGCCATGACAGTTCTGATGCCAACCATAAAGGGCCAAAAAGTGGGTGGTGGCCCATTTCCTGAAAATCTCTGCCCCTTCTCCAAAATAGTTGGAATAAGCCTCTCACTCATTAGCCTATGAAATTACCCAGCCTATAAAAACTAACCCCCCCATATTTTGGGGCCTCTTGTCTTCTGAGACAGACTTCACTCTGTCTGTGGAGTGTGTTTCTTCCAAGGCTGTTCTCGCTTTTTGAGATGAATCACATTCTGTATGCAGAATGTATATCTCTCTAAATAAATCTACTCCTTACTTATCATTTTGTCTCTCACTAAATTCTTTCTGTGATGAGACATAAAGAACCTGAGCTTTATTAAGTCCTGAGACCAGGTGTGTGATTTCAATTAAAAGACAGTGGGTGTAAGTCCCAATCTGAGCTGTGCAGTTTCATCACCACTGCATCTTATTCTGGCTGGGCCTGGGAACTGGTGGGCTGGGGAGTAGGCTGTGCTTCCATAAAGTTTTCCAGGACACTGGGTAGGCCAGGGGGATGAGGCTGAGGGGAGGGGAGGGGAGGGAAGAGGTGCCAGGGAGCCCAGCTTCTGTGGGCCAGTTCTCAGACTTCAGTCAGTACAGTTGGACCTGGGGCTGTGGAGGGAGGGAGGGAGGGAGGGGTGACCAGTATTCCTCTTCTCACACAGGTATCAGCCCTCAGGGAGGCCCAGGGACTCATCCTCTCCCTGGAGCCTTTTTAAAGCAAGGCACTTCTGAAACTGAGCAGGACCCTGTGGCGCTCCTGGGCATGGAAGCGTTTCTGTGTCCCCCATTTCTTGTTGGTAGGGAATAGACTCCAGCCTCCATGACCTTCCCTGAGTTCCAAAGGGCAGTTTCAAACAGTTGCTAATCAGGGAAGGGAGGGGATGCAGAGACAAGAGAGAAACAGTCAAGAAACAATAGTGCAGCCTTGGGGCAGGGTCCTGGTTCTGCCTCATGAGATGTACATAACAGTATCTTTGAGCTCTTCTGCAGAACTAAAACCCCCAACAAATGGAAGATGCTAACAACCTGATGAAGCATTCTTCATTCCAGAGACAAGGTCACAGTTTGACATCCTTGAGAACCACAGAAGCTCATCAGGAGACCACCTAAGGCCAGATTAAAGGAGCGTAGGCCCTGAACACACCCTGATTCTGATCAGCAACCCTGGCCTTGAACCATTGCTGTAAAACTCCTCACCAAATCCTGCCACCACCCCACCCCCCAGGTTGGGGCACACAATTTTTGAGGGCATGAGTCCTCTGTGTCCCCCTCTGCCTGGCAAAGCAATACAGCTATTCTTTTCTACTTCAACCAAAACTCTGTCTCCGAGATTTGATTTGGCACCGGTGTGCAGAGGCCGAGTTTCCAGCATCACTTCTGTGTGTGGGCTATGGGTGCTCCCTCTGTGCCCACTGGACAGTGATCTGTGTTCAAACTCCTTGCAGACGAGGCCATGTGCCCACATATTCTCAAAAACCTAAAGTGATGTCACAGCAGAAAGGAATGTTAGAAGTCATTTAGTGTTTCCTAAATGTGGGGAACTCTCAGCCCACAGCTTGCAACAGGTATTCTGGGAAGAAATGGAGTCTTGGCCAAATACATTTGGGTAGCGCTGCCCGACTCTCCCTGCCTTGCCATACACACACTGGGATACCGGAGATGCTGAGGAGACTTGGCATTAGTTTAACTTCCCTTAATAGGCCATTTTCCAAACTTATTTGCACATGGAACACCCTTTTGGTTTGGGCTGTTTATCGTCACTTTGCCAAGCTGGTGTTCTATAGCATTTTGGGACATGGATACAGCCAAACCTTTTAGTTTATAGATGAGAAAGTGGAGGGCCAGCGAGCTTGGTCCTCTCACCCCCTCCCCAGGGAAAGGCCTCAGCTTCTGAACACGTCTCTTCCATCTCTGCTTCTTTCCTTCCCTCTGCTTCTCTCCCTGTGACTTCCGGCTCCCTTAGCTGGCAGCCATCCCTGCCTGAGCTTGGATCCCATTAGTTCTCTAAGGAGAGTCATAGGAGACCTTTTGGCTGACTCCTTGTATAGATGGCTCAGCCTCAAGAAACCTGAGCCCTGAGAAGTTCCTGGCCACCTGAGCTGCTGTCTTTAATCTTGAAACTGCTGGTCTCCAGGTGAGGGATCGTTGAGCTGCTGGGAGTCTTAGAAAGACTCTCATGCAAGAGGATGGTTAGTAAGTTCACTTTAACTCATGGTTACGCCTGAGGAAGTGTTTAAATGTGATGCACTGAGGAAATTTCATTGACTGATACATACCCACTATACATCCAACACCAGTTATTGACATCCGAAAATTAGTGCTGAGCACAGGACACATTTGTTCCATCAAGCCTGGGAGTTGGCCAGGGAGGTCAAGCAAGTTGCCCGAGATTCCAGGACCAGGACAGGGGGAATCAGGGCCCAAACCCAGGGAGCAGGGCCCTGAAGTCTGCACTCCAGCCTCTGGGAGCCATTATCACTAATGTTAGCATGGGAAGGATGGGGTGATGCTGTGATTCATAAGAAATATATATTTGGTCATTCAGATGACCAAAATATATTTTTCATATATATTTATTTGGTCTTTGTTCGCTGTTCCTGGCTCACAGCTTCCAAAACCCTTGGAATTTCCTAAGTGCTGAGAGTGATAAAGGTGTCTTTTGTTATTTGAATGAGGTGATTTTTGGAAGCCTCTAAGGTTGGGGGCTGGTTGTCAGGGGAACCAACCACCTGACTAGAGGTTTGTAATTTTCAGTCTCACCCCCTTAACTTCCAGGTGGGAGTAGGGCTGGAGGTTGATGGTCAATCATCATTGACCAGTGATTTAGTTAATTATGATTATGTAATGAAGCCTGCATAAAAACCCAAAAGGACAGCTTTTTGGCCCTTTTTCCAAGAGCTTCTTGTTGGGGGAGCCAGAATGCTTCTGTGCCACTGTGCTGGGGCCCTGTTCAGGACCTCACCCTATGCTATTGCTTTACCTGGTTGTAGATTCCTAACCTTTAATAACCTTACATATATATATATATATATATATATATATATATATATATTTAATTGAAGTATAGTTGATTTAAAATGTGTTAATTTCTGTTGTACAGCAAAGTGACTCAGTTACACACATATATTCTTTTCCTCAGTTACACACACACATGCTTTTTTGTATGCTTTTACGTTATGGTTTATTGCAGGATACTGAATATAGCTCCCTGTGCTATACAAGTGGGACCTTGTTGTTTACCCATTGTATACGTAATAGTATGCAGTTTGGGGTTCAATAACTTTTGATAACAAATCGTTAATCTGTGAGTAAACTGGTTTTTCTGAGTTCTGCAAGCCCTTCTAGCAAATCAATCGAACCTCTGGAGGGTGTCGTTGGAACCTCCAGTTTGTAGCTGGTGGGTCTGTCACTGACGTCTGTGGTGAGGGTGGTCCTGTAGGACTGAGCCCTCTACCTGTGGAATCTGATTCTGTCTCCGGGGAGACAGTGTCAGCATTGAGTTGAATTGCTTGCTGCTGTAGGGAAGCCTCCTCCGTACGTTAGAATTGGGCTTGGGAACCCTTTTCCGACGGGGTTCACTTGTATTTTTAGCAGGTCCGTTCTTTCTAATACCAGGCATTCGGGAACCAATGCTTCAGTTAGTGCCCTGGGGGCTGGGGCAACCTATTTCTAGAGGGACACTGCACTCGTGCATCTGTTTCCTGATGCTGTGCCCAGGTGGGGAAGACGCATGCTGGTCACTGGGCCCTCCCTCTCTCCCTCCCTGGTGGGGGCCAGGAGCCATCTGTATAGACTGTGTTCTCTGACAACCGCCCAGTGGAGCCTGAAGTGGCCGTCCCAGTATCAGCTGGTGGAGTCTATCAGAGAACACAAAATTGCATGGATAACAGGTAAGCCCTGGGCAGCCTTTATCTATCCCTAAACAATCACTGTCATGTTATTTGACTCTGAATGCTCCATTACGTTTCAGATTTATTTCCAATCATTCAGAGCTGCATCCATGGGAGACAAAGGTGTCTTTGAGCTCTGGCACCTGCTGTTCCCCCCAAATGTCAAGGGCTGACGTTTGATGTCTTTATCCACAGTGGGCGTGATGATGACTCACTCCTTGCTCCCCACTCCTAGGCCCACAGCCCCATTCACACCCAGTGAGGACTTCCATGCCCCACACGCAGGTGGCAACGTGCGCGGCCCAGGGGGAGCCGACCTCCTCCCTCTCTTTCCTCTGGCAGAGCCTGCCTGGGTCCCTGGGAGAGGCCTCTGCAGCTGGGTTCCTCCTTCGCTCCCTCTCCCACTGGGCGGCACCCAGTGTCCCAGGCGAGGTGCGTGTCTTGGGGTGCAGGGGGCGCTCACGGGCTGCCTGGTGCTGCAGGTGGGGGGGTGGGGCTTTCTCTCCTGGACGGGGAGGCATTGGCGGGAGGTGAGTCCTTGTAAAGTCCTTCAGATGAAGTACTCCTTTCTGCTGCTGTCACCGTTGTCCTGGAGGGACGGGTCGTCCTGCAGGGCCGCGTCGGCGCTCTCGGCAAACTCCGTGCCCTTGGCCTCGTTGGTGTGGTACGTGCCCTTGTGCCGGTACATGTAGTGCAGCATGAGAAAGAGGAGGCAGACCAGCACGAAGGCCACGGCCGCGATCACGCCTGCAGGAATGGAAGCACAGGGCTCTGTGTCGAGGGGAGAGGCCAGGCTGGGATGGGGGAGGACGCAGGCAGGGCCCACAGGGTTGTGTTGGGACAGACACGCTGCTGGCCAGACACCAAGCCCAGACAGCCTGGCTCCTTCCTGCCTCTCTCTTGCCCTGCCCAGGGCACCTGCCCCTCCCCTGTGCCCATCTAAGCTACCCCTGACCTCCCCTCTCCCTCCGTGCAGCATCCTCAGACTGAGGCTGGAATCTTATCCCAGAACTGACCCTGCTCCGAGGTGCTCCCCGTCCGCTGAGGGAGGCAGACCTAAGTGCACCATCCACGGAATGCAGCTCGTGGGTTTGCCTAAAACTGATAGGCTCACAGGACTTGGAACTTTCAGGGATTTAAAAATTTTTTTTAGAGATAAGTTTAATTCAAAGAATTAGGTATTTTATATATAGCTATTAAAAGGGTGGAAAAATTATTTTATAAAGACACAATCATTTTTTAAAACCTAGCAAATACAGAGAAACACAAATGGATGTTAACATGTCCTTAATCCTTCGGCTCAGAAATCACCGCAGTTAACAATTTGATACCTTTCCCTCCCAAGAAGCATTCATGTTTAATCAAAGTTCTCCTTCAATCTTCAAATGAATGGCCCTCTCTAAGCCTTTGTAACACTTTAGTATTTAGAACTTGCAATCATTTTCAAACTCTTCTTACTGGAGTCCCTCTGGCTGATTTACGATTCTCCAAACACTTTTTATTTGACCAATTTTCCATGTCTCTGCACATGTTCTCTCTGCTGAAAATATTTTCCCCTCCCCTTGTCTTCCTGGTAAACTTGGATGCTGCCTTCAGAATCCAGCCTCTCCCACCTCCTCTAAGAAGACTCCTTTGCCTTACTCTCCTGGCCCTGCAGAGCAAATCACTCCATCCCTTAGCATTTCTGCTGTACTTTGTAAATCTGATAACTCTGAGTTTTAGAAGCAGGACAATCCCAGCTGAGGGGTTTCCTGGGCATGGGATTGAAGTGCGAAAACCGGGAAAGTGCCAGGAGCGGGCAGGGGCGAGGGCTGCCCCTGGAGAAGTGTGGTGTGTGTGTCCCTTAGCCCACAGCTCCCCTGTGCTCCTGGGAGGTGGGGTCTGCAGGAGGGGTTGGGAGGTGTGGCTAGAGGGCTGTTCAGAAAGAAGAGGTCACTCAGGCCTTTGGAGTGATGGGGTGAAAGGGCAGGACCAAAGAGTTTGGGTAGGACTAACGGGTGGCGCTCTCACGTGCGGAGGTTCAAGAGCAGGTGTTTGCTTTGAAACCCCAGAACAAACCCTCTGCCTTGACTTAGAAGGCGGGTTTACTGGGGGAGGGGCCTTTGGAGAATATGTAGAGGCTACAACCGTTCCCAAGTCCCAGCTTTGTGGGACAATTTCCTCAGCTCCCCGCGGCCTTTAGGGGACACTTCTGTCTGCATGATGTTAATGGCATTGTCTAAGAAAAAGAAGGCCCGGCCATTCAGTGAGTAGGAAAACATCAGGGTGATTGCCTGCTTTTATTTATTTATGTCGAAACGTGAAGTTCCCTGAGCTAGGAATGAGCTAGGGAGAAGTGTGAAGCTCAGAAGGACACCGCAAGCTATAGCTCACAGACTTAGTCTGTCCTGAAACAGTTTGGGGTCAGAGCTGTGACCAGTGGGGGCCAGTATGGGTTTCAGAGCAAGGCTAGGGCAGGGTTAGGATGGAGAGACAGGGGCGTGAGACCTACGACAAGAATCAGTGTGGTTTGAGGGAGCCGGGAGAGAAGTCAGGGAACCCTGGTCAGCCCTCAACCCTACCCCTCCCTTACCAGAGCGGCTCTCCCTCCAGCCCCCCTTCCCTGTGCATCTAGGGTCCTGACAGGCCCTGATGCAGGTGTCTTGGCACCTCACCCACCAGGATGCTGTGTTGGACATTTTCTTACAGATCCAGAGTCCCCCGGTCCACCTTCAAACCACCTTTGAGGGAAGGAAAGCAGGGCTATGGCAGGTCCTGCCCTGAGTGCTTCCTCTGACCCTCCTGGCTGTTTGAGGGGCCCCCAGACAGTGTACCTGCAATGACGGCGATGTCCATCTCCCTCGAGGCCATTCCGGGGTCGGGCTCTGTGGACAGAACAGAAGAGCCTGAGGTGAGAGAGGACGGCTGCCCATGCCCTGCAGTGTCTCTGCTGAGCTTGCACCTTCTGCTCGCAGGTGCACTGACCCAGGGTGCATGGGAAACTGCATGGCACGCAGATAGGCCTCTGGCCGGGGGCGCACAGGGCCGGGCCCAGTCTCTCCATGTCCGCTGACCGTTACTGGAGAGCATCGTGTCACTCCCAGGGCTATCAGACACCATTATGGCATCTCCAGGGCTGAGCCAGCCATATGTGAGGGACCTCTGCTGCATCCCTGCTGCATCCCTGACCCAGAGCCCTGCCTGCACCTGCAGGTGCTCAACAGACACCTGCGGGGGTGTGAGGGCAGGCACGACTGTGTTTAGTGCAGTGTCACCTGACTCTTCAGGCCTCAGCTTTTCTCATGATGATGGTAAAAACAGACCACCTGTGGGGTGTCTACACATGTCAGGTGTTGGTTTAGTTGCCATCCATCTAGTATACCAGGTACATGGTATTATTAACCCATTTCACAGGTGGGACACTGAAGCTCAGAGGGTGATGTGCCCACCATCACACAGCTGGTCTGATGGGTGAGCTTGAGGCCGGGACTTAAGGCTGTGCTCTCTGGGGGGCACTTTCTCTCTTCTCACTTGAAGACACCCCTCCCAGGAGGGCTCCTATCCGGAGATCTCTCCCTAAGACCCTCCGCAGACCTCTGAATCCTTCTTCTGAGGGTAGGGCCACTCTGTAGTGCTATCCAAGTTACTAAGTGCATTTTTCAGAAGCTCAGTGGTTTAGCCAGAAGGCTATGAAGTCTAGGAGAGCAGGAACCTCTCCTTTGGGATATGTGTGAGAGGAAGGACTTATTAGAGCACGGAAATATCAGTGTTCACATGGAAATCCCATGTTCCCGTTACAAGGGCTCCACGTATTAAAACAGAGACGGCTGCTTCATAGTAGTCATTTCCACTCAGATAATCACTTTAATTATAGCGTGATGAGGTCATTCTCCCCAGCACAGCTGCCAGATGCCTCTTTCTGATAAGAAGCTGGCTGGTGGTGGAGGGAAGTGGGGGCTCCAGGCTTGAGAGCTGGAGGAGGAGAGCCAGGCTGGGGGCTCTGAGGCCAGCACAGAGCCTAGAGGTGGCGGAGAGGAGAAAACAAGGCCTCAGGTCAGCAAAGAGACAGAGCAGGTATCAGGGCAGGGGGAGGGAAGTACAGACAGGAGAAGGTCAAATGGATGCTGGACTTTGCAACCCAGGGTGGTCAAGTGCAGCCTGGGACTTAGCATCTAGCACACAGTAGGTACTCTAAACATTTACTGAATGCATGATCAAGGGGATAAATGCACACAATAAATGAATGCATGCAGAGGCCAGAGTTCTAGAACTTACTCCATCACTGAGCACCTCCCATTTCAGCAAGAAAGAATAGCCCCTTCCTTAAGTTGGCATGGGTGGTTGTAGAAGCTCTAATACCCAGGATTGCTGTTAGGAATTTTCCAGGTGAAAGCAAGCCTTTCTTAAGTCAGTTTGTCCAAGGCAGCCAGGATTAGAAAGGACTGCTATTTCTTCTTCTTTTTTTTTTTTTTCAGTACCTGGCCTCTCACTGTTGTGGCCTCTCCTGTTGCGGAGCACAGGCTCCGGACGCGCAGGCTCAGCGGCCATGGCTCGCGGGCCCAGCCGCTCCGCGGCATGTGGGATCTTCCCAGACCGGGGCACGAACCCGTGTCCCCTGCACCAGCAGGCGGACTCTCAACCACCGCGCCACCAGGGAAGCCCTGCTATTTCTTCTTTTAAAAACAATTAGCAATTGCTTACCATGTGCCAGGTACTGTTCTTAGCACTTAATGTGTTTTAACTCAAATAGTCCCTGTGATAATGCCACTCAGTAGCAGTTATTATTGTCCCCTTTTTACAGATTTGGAAGCTGAGTTCCAGAAAAGTGTAACCGATTTCCCTGGGTCAGAATATCTCCTGTTTGAGCCTGAGAAGCCTCAAGATGACATGCCTAACCCTGTAGGGCCCTGCTCAGTGGTGAGCCTGGGTGAGCTGGGTGAGGACCAGAGAGGTATTCGGCTTGGATCACTTGGGGTGAATTTCTTGGCTTGGGCTGAATTTGTTCAAGTTGCACCATGTGACCGGACTCCAGGGTAGTGACACTTCAGCCTGGCCATACCTGCCACCTAGGTCAGAACTGGCACAGAGGAGGAAGCTTGGGCATGTCTGGGAAGGTGGGGATGGTATAAGACAGTGGTTGTCAAAGTGTTGTCTCTGGAACAGCAGCATTTCCTGGGAGCCTGTTAGAAATGCACATTCCTGGGCTCCACCCCAGACCTACTGTACCAGAAGCGCTGGGGCTGGGGCCCAGTAATCTGTGGTAACAGGCCTTCAGGTGATTCTGATGCACACTCAGGGTTGAGAACTGCTGGTGTAAGAGAAGTCTTCCCAGAGAGGGTTTATCAGGATGGGCCCTTGAAGGATGAATAGGAGTTTGTGGCACGAACAAGAGTATAAGGATTTCAGGCAGAGGGCTTAGCCCCTACAACAGCCCCTCACCTCTCTCTAGTTCTCAGTTTTCTCCCCAAATGACTGCTTGCCATCCATGGCACCTAGGGTCCTGAAACCTGGGCTTTGATCTCTTGTTTCTGGAGATGCTGCAGTGAGAGTCCTCACTGGCTACACCACCTCATGCTGTTTCAGCCAGCAGCAATGATATGGGATATTTGCAGAAGGCTAGTTGGAGTGAGCTCGAATCCCTCCCAGGAAGTTGATGGGTTACTGTGTGATTGGATTATGAGCCTGGGTTGAGAGTCCACCCCTTGCTGAGTTTCAAGGGTAAGTAGGAGCTTGGGATTAGAATCACTCCGAGCTCAGGAACTGGGATGGGGGCCAATGAGCAGCTTGAGGGGGGTGGATTTTATGGCAAAGAAAGGTGTTATTTATGGCCAAGTGTGCATCTGAGGTCAGAACAGACAGTGGTCTACTCCTGAGACTGGACAAGCATGAATGGCCTCCACCCTTTTTGTAGAGACCCAAAGTGCCCTGCGCGTTTCCTTCCTAGATCTCTTCAAGATTGCAACGCCCCCACCAGAGAGAAAGCTCTTCGAGTCCCAGGACCGCATCTGTCTTACTCACAGTCCTGCGTGCCTGGCACGGAGTAACAGTTGTTGAGAGTTATTTGAAAGCCTAGTTCTATCTGGGGAACAGAGGATGAAACTGTGCCCTGCACTGTCCACATCACTCTGATGACCCTTGGGTTCAAATCCTGGCTTGACTGACTTAATGGCAGCATATTCAGTAAAATGCTTAATACAGACTGGCTTTAGTTTCTGTGTGTGTGAACAGGGATAACAAACCCACTTTGTGGTAAGTGATAGGAATGATACACACACACGTGATAAATATTGTATATATGTTATATAGACAGTTACTATGTGGTACATAGCTCAGAATAGGTGTTTTTCAGTTGTAGCCACTGTTTTGATTGTGAGTCTTATTATTACTCTGGTTTGCATGGAATTCCATACCATTCACCTAAGGGACCAGTTCCCAGATGCTGTGGGTCCAGGCAGACGCTGGATGCTGGTCGTGAATTCCCAGCATTGTCCGACTGACAGTCAGACAGCACCGGATGCTCAGTGTCTCTCTTTCCCGTATCACTGCAGGGAACAGGAGAGCTTCCAAGAAACAAAAAGTGAGTCTCTGACCTCAGGGGGCTTACAGTTTCCCTGGGTGGTGTGATTGTGATGGATGAATTATTTAGGGCAGTGTCTGTCACACAGGAAGCCCCAAGTCACTGGTGGGTGACAACCAGCTAGAGAGAGAAAGAGGCAAAGAGAGAAAAAGGGAAGGAGAAATAAAGAAAGAAACCAAAACAGGAAAAGAGAGAGGAGACAGAGAAAATAGCTTAGAAACCACCAGGTCCATCATCGGCAGTTGGGATACTGTTTAGGGAGTTCTGATTTCTTTTGTGCACACACACCACAAGCATGTGGATCTGAGTCACAGTGTAAAGGGGGTTTCTTACTGAGGGCGGCATTTACCACGATTTTTGGAGACTGTGATTTAGACAACAACACGACAAGAGGGAATACACGAAACCCTTTGTGTCCTACAGTGTCAGGTTCAAGGGTAGCCCGTCTAAGAGATCAAGAAAGGAGCAGGCAGACGGAGAACAAAGCATGGCCTCATACCAGTGAAAGCTGATGTAGGTGATGGAGGCCGAATGGCCAAACAGCCTGATACCTCTGGGCTTCTGAACACCCCCGTGTGGCCACCCAGCTGCAGGCCTTGCCACAAGGCCAGGGCCAAGGGAAGGGACAACAGATGTTTCCCGTAGCTGTGGATCCAGAGAGGGAGAGGAAGGGAAGGGCTGTTCCTGCCCCCAGCTCACATGCAGGGAAGTCACCACCTCCCATGTAGGCATGGTGGGGAGTGAGGGCAGGGATCAGCGGGGGAGGCTGATGTTCTCCTAGAGGCCTTGGGAAATTTCAGGGGTGGGAAGAATGTTCCAGGACTAGGGAAGTTCTGACACAAGTCCTGGGGGCTCAGCCTCAGGGGGGGGAAGCAGGGGGAGGACTTACTAGGCAGCAGGCTCTGGGTGAAGTGAGCTGCCACTTACATTCCTCACAGCAAGCGAGCCAGAGGGAAGTGTTTATCTCCAAAGAGCTTGAGCAAGTGGTCGACATCTCACAGCCAAAAGAGGCAGAGTCTGTGTTGTAACCTGGGATCCCCAGCTCTAAAATGTGTGCTCTCTCCAGAGTGCAAGCTGCCATGGTTGGGAATGGCTTCTCTCCTGTGTCATCTGCAATGTGGCAGCAGCCAGAGCCCTGCTGACTCTCTAGGTCTGCAGGGTGGGTCCACTGCGTGTTTCCTGGTCAAAGGCAGCACCCCTGGGAGGTAGCAGGGTGCAGAGGTGCTGCCCCTCCATGCAGGCGACATTCTCCGCTCCAGCTGGCAGCTTGGGCACTGCTAACAGGGTGCAGCACTTTAGCAGCAGCTGGATCCTCGGGGCTCCAGCGGTGCTTCTCAGATGTCAACAGAGAGCAGTGCTCAGGCACTGGCTCCAGGGACACAAGTCGACCCTCCTGTTGCCACCAAGAGCCTTGCTTCTCTTGTGTTTTCTGATGAAGCTGTGCAGGGAACTTCTTTTTCCTGCAAGGGTTTGTCTTCAGCACCTCCTGACCCACCTCTAATGGTTTTTCCTATTGCCTCAGGGGTCCTGGAGGAAGCACCCCATTCCTGTTTCCCATCGCCCACCTGGTCCAGCCAAGAGGAAGAATTCAGGCACGGGGCAGAAGACTCTGGGAAGAATAAGATTATTTAAGTCTTAGTAGCACAAAGGG